CATGTGCAGAGGCTGGTCCCGTGGAAGACTTCAGAGTTGGCTGTACTGTGGGCCAGGGAGGACACTGATCAGGAGCAGCAAGTACAGAGGCCCAGAGGTGAAAGGGCGTTAGTCATTTGGGAGCAGTGTAAGGGATTTGGTTTACCTGGTGTGCTGTGTATGAAGGGGAGCAGGAGAGCTGCTTTAGGGTCTGGTATGGGTAGAGCTGGGTCATGGGTGCGTGCCTGTCAGGTCACAGCACAGAGGCCATGGTAAGGCAGGACAGGAAAGCCCAGGCCCTCTAGGCCATGCTCTCAGGTTCAGCATCTGCATGGAATGCTGAGATGGGGGCTCCAGATTCCTTGGGTGTGGAGGGCAGTAATTATACCTGCATTTCCTGATCTGTGCCACATGGGAAACAAAGCTCATGGGGACAGGCAGGTTATAGATGATGGCAGTAAGGCACACAGTTCCTGGGGAAGGGACCAAGGAGTTGCATTCCTCCCACTTGCACTTAACATTGGCACGTTTGTTTGCATGAAGCCAACAAGAGAAGGGCAGTTTAAACACTTGCAATGTTTTGCACGCTATACATTTTGATGCTTCATGCATTTCATACAGAATTCTCTTCACAAAACCCTGTATACTGGATTTAACCAAAGATTTGAAGACTTTTTTTTTCTTTATAGACCACAGATTAGTTTATTTTTATCACCTATCATGCCATGAATTCATAGGGAATAGGTTCCAGTAGCTCAGACTCCTTTCCATTGGTTCTCACACAGTGGCTGCTCTAGGTAGAGCAGGCTGGCGCTTCAGTTGAACCCAAGTCCCTTTCTCTTTGGCTTCTTTCTTTTTCTGGTCATTTTCTATCACATGTTTTAGGAAACTGTCTCTGCTCTTAGAATGCTTAATATGCTTAGTATGCACATGAATTCTCTTGGCAAGAATCTTGCCTTTAACTTGTTTGTTCATGACAATGCCAACAGCATGCTGGGTGACATTGTAGATTCTTCCAGTTTGGTCATGGTAGCATTTGTGGGGGCTTCCTGTTTGAAAAGTACACATTCCCAACCGCGGTTGACTACATGGGAGTCCAGCGACATAGCCATTACGCTAACTGCTGGTTCCCAACTCCATGTTTTTTAAAAGGCCTGGAGAACATTTATCGGGTGCCTCTCCTCTCTCCCTTTGTGTTCGTCATTTTGGTTAATTACTGGAAGGTGGCGGTTCTGACCAAAAGGAAGGCAGATTTAAAGACTTTTTGAGCTGATTTTAGTTTCTGCCCACTACCCAACTGCCTTCCCTCTATGTGTAGGAGCAGGGATTGATAGAAAGGAGGGAGAGGTCAGCTTTGCCGAGGGCTGGGTCGGTATGGCATGTTTCTGGGACACTGTGGCATTGAGACGCATCATCCCAAAGGGAGAGTTAACCAGGATGATTAAGAGGGAAAGGGAATGCAAGTCAAAGGGAACAGGATATGGAAGCTGGGAATGGTGGCACTGTGGCTCACACCTTATTCCTAGCTGCTGGGAGGAAGAGGGAAGCTAAAGTAAGAGGTGCATGAGTTCACGGCAGGCCTGAGTGACATAGCAAGATTTTATCTCTATACAGTATATGCAGAAATGTAGGGCTCAGGTAAGAGATATTTCTGAGGATTCCAGGTGAAAGCACAGGTCATTGGCAGAGCAGAGCTTCTGACTGGGAAGCAGCATTAGGACCAGAGAGGTAGACAGGTAGAATTCAGGGCTTTGTGAGGGACCAGCAGATGGCATTATGGCTATGTTGCTGGACTCCCATGTAGTCGAACACAGTTCGAATCCCGGACCTGGTGGCTTAAACTTTCCGGGCGCGTGTGTGTGCGTGCCCAAGATCCCGAGAGGAGAATGGAGGAGAAGGGATTGCGGTGTGGCCATACCCCCTGGGGGATGATTTCTCCCTTTCTGTCTCTTTGTCTCTCTCTGTCTTTCTGACCAGCACATATGCTTGCGCAAACCCCCCCCCCCCAAAAAAAAAAAGGGAAAAGAAAAAGAATTCAAGGCATTGTGTGCCCTGCTCAGGAATGTGGACTGTTGCCCAGAGGTAGGGAAGGTTTTCAGATTGTTCCAACAAGAACAATTGTCGAGCAAGATGGATTCTTCTGACCGAGGTTTCCTCAAGGTGAGTATTCATAGGAACAGGGCAGTACCTTCTGAGCGGAAGTGAACGGGAGGGAGCATGGGTTCAGAGAGACAGGGCAAGGAGGCGTGAGGTCGGTTTTGATTGACAAATCTGTAGAGGGGACAGAGAAGTGTCTGTGACCTGAGTATCACTTGGGGGACTGAGTGCCGTACTCTCCTTGCAGAGCCTCTAGGAGATGGGGCAGCTGGGACTCTGAGAGCAACAGACCCAAAGTCTCTTTC